GCTGGGGCTCAGCTCATAACCCTCGCAGGGGCAGAGGAGTTGAGCCCTGAAGCAGGGTAGATACACAGTTTTTAAAGAAAAAAACCACAAGCTATAGGGTAGGGGGAATTCCGAGAAAGGGGAGGGGGGACTTCGGTGGGGGATCATTTACAGGAATGTTTAGGGCTAGATCCGGTTGTTCCCGTACCAGATGTTTATCTTGGTTCCTGTTCAGAAATGGTTAACGTGACCTTCTGGCCTGTCATAGTTAGCTGACTCTGCTAGGGGTTGGGCTACTGGAGCTTCTTGAAAACTTTTCTAACAGGGGCTATTGATGTGTACCATGATACCCAGCTATTTCTTTCTTTATGTTTACACTGAGACGAGGTCTCCCAAAACTCACAGGCTAAACTCAAACTTGCAATCCTCCTGCCTCATTCTCCCAGAGCATTCCATGTGCCATCACAAGGTACTTACTGCCAGGCATGGTGGTACACGCCTGTAATCCTAGCATTCGGGACGCTGAGGCAGGAGGATGCTGTGAGTTCCAGACCAGCCTGGGCTACATAGTGAGTTCCAGGTCAGTCTCAACTACACAGTGAGACCCTGTCTCAAAAAAACCAAAAATAAAATAAAATAAATAAATAAAGCAAAGTATTTACTGCTTGGGGAGATTTTGAGCCATAGGATTGCATTATTCAAAAAGTAGATGCTATTTTTTTAAACGGGATAAAAGAAAAAAGAAAAGAGGAGGAAAAAAAGAAAAATCGCAATTAGGCCCCTGTAGATACCCAGCCCTGGGCTGATTTTCATCTTCAGTGGATGTGCACTGCGTCTCCTTGATAACTGTAGTGATTTTGGTCTTTTCAAACTGTGAAAAGTAAGCAGAAGAACAGACCTCTGGTTTCCTTTCCTCCTCAGCAAGAGAGCATCGACCACTTACTGGTCGACCTGAGGATGGAAGCGCTCTTTGTGAAGGAGAATTTCAACATCCGCTGGGCGGCGCAGAGCGGGTTCGTGGAAAATGTCAACAATGTCCTCAAAGAGTACAAGCAGAGCAGAGGGCTGCTGGTAAGTGCCACTGAAGTAAACCACCTCAGCTGTGCACAGTTGCAACAGCGAAAGCGGTTTCCTTTTCAAGCATCCAAACTTCTAATCTCAAGGCATTTTTAAAATTTGCTAAATTTGTCCAAGTCTGATCATCTACATGTATATGTTAGGCCACATGATACATGCTACATGTTATGCTAGTACTTGTCAATCAAACCTTAAAATTGTTTAAATAAGCTTGGCGTGGTGGTGCTCGCCTCTAATCCCAATACTCGGAAGGCTGAGGCAGGAGGATCACCTCGAGTTTGAGGCCAGCTTGGGCTACATTGTGAGTTCAAGTCCAGCTTGAACTACATAGCAAGATCTGTCTCAAAGAAAAGAAAAGAAATTAAGTCAGCATTGATCATAACTGCTGCGCAAACTGAACCAGATAGTAAGCTCAGGATGGATTGTTACAGTTACCAACCTAAGCAAAATTACCCAGGTGCCTTCCTACCTGTGGGGACACCTGTGGGAGAGCGCCGAGAGGTCAAAGAAGTCTAACTACTCATTCCTTTGATCTTTCCACTGGCTAAGGGATTTACTGGCCATTTTAATCAACACAACCTTTCTGGGTAGGTGTTCTTTTTTAAAAACTTAATCAACACATAGAAATTGTACACAATTATAATATATACCACGATGGCTTTTTAGGGCTTACTTTATTGATTTTTGCAGTGCTAAGGATTGAACCTAAGACCTTGCTTGGCACTGAGCTAAACTCCCAGCCCTTTTTTATTTTTTTGGTTTTGAGACAAGATCTCACTAAGTTGCCCAGGATGGGCTTGCACTTGGGATCCTCCTGCCTCAGTCTCCCAGAGTGATGAGATCACACCGTCTACCACCATGCCCTCTATTCACCATGCTATTTGAAAGATGTATATGTTGCGAAATGGTTAAATTCAGTTAGCATACAAACTGCCTCACTTACTTGTCTTTTTTGAGGAGAAAGGTAGGTATGGTAGAATTCTTTGCATATAATCAAAAATTTTTTAATTTATTTTTTCAGCTTTAATTGAGTTTATTGGTACATTTTAGGGATACAGTACAGTTACATTCATTGTTGGGATCTTGTACCTCTACATGACAAGTCTTGATTCTCATTTTTCCCCTTACCCCTGCCCTCCCTTCACCCCCTCCTCTCCTCCCCATCTACACACAATCAAATTTTAAGGAAGATATTCTTTTTTTTGTTTGTTTTTTGTGTTTTGTGTTATTTTTGAGACAGGGTCTCACTGTGTAGTTGAGACTGACCTGGAACTCACTATGTAGCCCAGGCTGGTCTGGAACTCACAGCGATCCTCCTGCCTCAGCCTCCCAAGTGCTGAGATTACAGGCGTGCGCCATCATGCCCAGCAAGGAAGATATTCTTATCTCCACATTATGGATGAGGAAACAAGCTCAGAGAGATGAAGTCACTTCTTCACAGGCACACAGCTAGTTAGGGATGCAGACAGAGATGCAGGCCAAGCAAGAACGCCCACCCTCCCCTTGGAAATCAGTAGTGCAGCCCCTGCCTGGCTCCTTGGGGAGCCCCCTGCAAAGCTCCTAAAGCACACAGAGGCTCAGCAGGGCACAGGTGTTATGAAACCGTACAGCAGCTGAGATCACAGTGACCACTGTGCCCATGCTTTGGGTCCATGCCATGTGCAGGCAGAAGCAGGGACCTCGGGCCAGGCACAGCACTGCCGCCGCCTCGGGCCTCTCCACCTCCCCAGCCAGGACTGCAGGGCCAGCTCTGCTCCCTCGGTGTGCGGCCTCAGTCTCCTACCCATGGTGCCGGTGACAGAGCTAAGTGCTGGCCGTCAAACCCAGGGCCTTCCCACTGTGCTGCACCCGCCTGTCCTATTTGATTTTGATGTGCAGCCTCCCGGCTGTCCAGCTGTCCAGGCTGGCCTCAAACTTGCAATCCTCTTGCCTCAGCCTCTCAAGTATATCACTGGTTATGAATGCCACAAAATGTATTTAACATTCAAGCACATTTTCAGCAGAAGAAATGGCATTTTCTAAAAACCAGAGTAAGTTAACTGTGTTAAAAATAATTAAATCAGACCAGGCTTAGTGGTGCACACTTGTCACCCCAGCACTCAAGAGGCTGAGGCAGGAGGATTCCTGCCAGCTGGACTTCGTAGTGAGTTCAAGACCAGCCTGAGCTACATAGGGAGATGCTGTCTCAAAAAAAAAAGAAGAAGAAGAAGAAGAAAAGTAAGAAAAAAATTGCTTCTTGGCCTTTTGGCTAAGATCAAGTGTAAAAAAATAAATAAAACAGCACACAGGATGCTGAGGCAGGAGGATCACAGTGGATTGGAAGCCCACCTGGGATACATAGTGAGGCCTTGTCTCTAAGGAAACAACAGAGACAGAGACAGAGAGATAACTGTCCTGAGCCTGAAAGGCACATTCCTGAAACGAATCCACTTAGTGCTACAGACCCACTGTTCGGAGCTCACTGCAAGCCCCTTCTGCTCCTCTTGCAGCCCATCAAGATTTGCATTCTGGGCCCTCCCGCGGTGGGGAAATCCAGCATAGCGGAAGAGCTGTCCAAGTACTACAGACTCCACCACATTAAAATGAAGGATGTGATCACCGAAGCCATAGCGAAGCTGGTAACACCTTACTGGGAATTTTCACATCGAAAAAATGCTTTTCTTACTGTTGTAATAAGCAAGCGACTCATTTCACGTGTCAGAGAGATTTGCTATTCTTGTTATTTCTTTTGGTGCTGAGGATCGAACTCAGGACCTTGTGCTTGCGAGGCAGGTGGTGGCACCGCTGAGCTAAATCCCCAGCCCAAGATTTGCTATTCCCATTGCATTTTCACACTGGCCGTGGTTATGAAGTTGCAGGACCCCAGGGCTCTCCTTGGTGAGACAGAACTACTTTGCCTGTCTCACCCTTGAAATGTGGTCGCCTCCAGCTCTTCCTCAGAGTGTATCATGTCCTGTTCCTGAAGATGAGAACACTTCTGTTTTTATTCCTGTTTGTTTGTTGGAGGCAGAGTCTTTCTATGTAGGTCAGCTGGCTTTGAACTCACTGTGTAGCCCAAGCTGTCCTTGAAGTCATGCAGAGATCTTCCTGCCTCAGCCTCCCAAGTGCTGGGACTACAGCAAAATGATTTTATTCTTGTTGTGTTTTCTCAGGGTATTATCAGCACATTAACTGTCTTTCCTCATTTTGTTGGGAACTGCAGATGCTGAGGTCCATTTCCCTAAATGAGTACTGACCATTTTAGGGTGCTGAGTAGTGAACCTATGTTGTTATACCACTGAGCTACACCCTCAGCCTAAAAGTCTTGATTTCTAGAAAATACATTCCCTTCAAGAAAGACGCAACCTTGCCAGATGTGGTGGCACATACCTGTAATCCCAGCACTTGGGAGGCTGAGGCAGGAGGATCGCTGTGAGTTCGAGACCAGCCTGGTCTACATAGTGAGTCCCAGGTCAGTCTTGACTACATAGTGAGACCCTGTCTCAAAAAAAAAAAAAAGAAAGAAAGAAAGAAAGACACATCCTAGCACCTTAGAAAAGTGTTGATTCTTCAGCAGTTCAGGCCATTTGCTCAGGAGCACATTATTCTAAAAGCAGAGTAAAAACTTTGAGGTTTTCATCTATTTCTGTGGGAACACACATCCTGCCAATTGTGCTGGGGACTGAGCCAGGGCTCTGGTACTGAGTGACACCCTAGTCCTTTTTTTTTTTTTTTACTGAGATAGAGTCTCACAAAATTGCCCAGGCTGGGCTGGAACTTATATCCTCCTGCCTCAGCCTCCCAAAGTGCTGGAATTACCAGCTCACACTGTCATGCCCGGTCCCACAACTTGTACACAATGGCAGTCACTGGTTCCCTTTGGGCCCGGCTTCCTTGCGTGCCAGTTGGTTGGTGAGTCCTAACCCCTGTGGCCTGCAGGAGGCGATTGTCACTCCCAAGGACAGAGGGGAGGAGGATGAAGGTGATGAGGAGGAGGAAGAGGAGGAGAACATGGAGGACGCTCAGGAGCTGCTGGACGGCATCAAGAAGAGCATGGAGCAGAACGCAGGTAGGGCTGGTCAGGTGGACAGGAGCCAGGATTTCACAAGGTCTGGTTACAAAAGATGGCTGTTTCCTCAGAAAGCCTGGCAGGAATGAGAACAGCAAAGGAATTTCCTCTGTCAGAGAGAGAGAGAGAGAGAGACAGACAGACAGACAGACAGACAGAGCCAGAGACAGGAGGAAACAGAGACAGACAGAGCCACAGAGAGACAGAGACAAGGCCTCCCTCATGGGCCTCCCAAGTGACACGATCACAGGTGTGGCTACTGTACCCAGCACCCTTGTTGATATTTTGGTGACTTCCTGGTGTAGGATAAGAAAGAAACTTTTAAATTTGAAAAAGGAGGGCCAGGTGTGGTGGCACATACCTATAGTCCCAGCACTGGGGAGGCTGAGGCAGGAGGATCACCTCAAATTCGAGGCCAACCTGGGCTACATAGTGAGTTCAAGGTCATCCTGAACTGCATAGTGAGACCCTATCTAAGAACAAAACAAAACAAAAACAAGTAAAATCATTCTGCTTTTAGAGGATCTGACAATTCTGGCCTTCACCTTCTGCTCTGTGAGGGGGACAATGTATAAGGGAACCTGACAACAGGCTGTGTGGGAACGAACAAGCGGGCACAGCTACTTGGTGTGAACCACAGCTGGGTGTGGGCCAGAGTCAGCACTGGGGACAGCAGCTGACACCAGGCTGCCAAGGGCGCCTGTGACTCGCAACGGAGACCCGCTCAGTGGCCTTCCTGGGACCGGATCAGGCGAGACCTCTGTGTGAACCACGTGGAATCCACCCGAGCACAGACTCGGTGCTGCTGTCCTGGCCACTGAATCGCCACGTCCTTAGAGGCCACATGCATCAGGCTGGAGAGAGAGAGGCGTGGGGAAGCCTTACTCATTGATTTATTTGTTGTTTGTTTTGTTTCTTAGGAGACAGGGTCTCCTATGTGGTGCAGGCTGTCCCTGAACTCACTCTGTAGCCTCAAACTGAAAGCAACTCTCCTGCATCAGCCTCCTCAGTGCTGGGACCACAGGTGTGCACCACCACGCCTGTACCTTTCAGAAGACACTTTCTTTTTTGAAGTTTGTCCCCAAACTCCTTCACTTCAATGTTTACCTGGCATCAAACCTGGACTGCGATTCGGTTGGAGCAAAACAAAACCTTTGTGCCCACTGCAGGTGGACAAGGGCAGGGGCCCCTGAGCAGCACGGAGCTCCCATGGCTTCGTTTGCTCTGATGTGTGGCCTGCAACACTGGGGCAGCACTAACGTGGCATCAGAAGGGAGGCACCACCCTCCTGACAGCCTCTGGAAGAAGGGCTTTGTTCAACTGAGAGTTCCCGGGCCCCAGACTCTAGGCTTGTCCTGTGTCTTTCCATCTGTCTGCCCCTCACTGTCGCTTTCTCCTGGTCCTAGTGACTGAACCCAGGGTCTTTGCCCTGAGCCAAACTCCAGAACCCCCTCCCCACCTTTTTCTGCTTCTTGAAACTCGGTCTCACTAAGTTGCCCAAGCTGGGCTCCACCTTGCGATCCTCCTGCCTCAGCCTTCTGAGTGCTGGGATTACAGGTGTGAGTCACCATACCCAGTTTGAACTAGTCTTTCAATTTACTCGTGAGTGTGAAAATAAAAAGGGTAAAGGGCTCTGTGAATATATCCATTTCATAACATCTATACTGTGCATTGATTATTGTAAAATCTTGGCTTGTAGCTATCTATTTTTAAGCCCTGTTTTCGTACTTATGAATATAAGCTAATATTGACATTTAAAATATTACCGGTATTTGAAAGATAGACAGAATTTTTGTTTTGTTTTGTTTTGCTTTTTTGAGACAAAGTCTCTCTCTATAGTTCAGGCTGTCTTGAACTCACTGTGTAGTCTAGGCTAGCCTCAAACTTGGGGCGATCCTCCTGCCTTAGCCTCCTGAGTGCTGGGACAACAGTGTGCCACCACACCCAGTGAAATTGCTTTAAGAAACATTTTAAAGTCTCTCCAGCAGAGCCATTGCATTCATTTTTTGTTTTTCTTCAATCAGAGAGGAGGTCCAGCCTTTGTGGAAAACAGTACAAAGGCTCCTAAAGGAATTTAAAATAGCCCAGGTGAATGACATATGACTGTAATCTCAGCTACAGAGGAGGCCAAGGCGGCAGGATCCTGAGTTCAAGGCCAACCTGGCAACATATTGAGACCCTGCCACAAAGTGGGGAGAGAGCTGGCAGGAGGAGGTAGGAAGGAGAGAAAATAATAAATTTAAAATAAAACTACCATTAGGCCGAGCAATTTCTCTTCTGGATATAAAACAAAAGCGGATGAATCATCACCTTCTACAGATATTTACATTCCTGTGTTCATCCAACAATATTCACAATGGCTAGGACATGGGAACAACCTAAACATCCTCCCATGGTGGAGGGGGGTAACAGATGAAGAAAATGTGTTACTATATGGAAACGCCCACATCCCAGAGTATTATGCTGGGTGTGGTGGTGCATGCCCGTAATCCCAGCACTCCGGAGGCTGAGGCAGGAGGATCACCAAAAGATCAAGGCCATCCTGGGCTACATTGTGAGTTCAAGGACAGCCTGAACTACAGAACAAGAAGACTCTTCTCAAAAATAAGAAAGAAAAGGAAAAAAACCCAGGAATGATGGAATACTATTCAGTCTTTAAAAAGGAGGCAGTCCCACCATTTACCCAGTGTGGATGGACCAGGAGGATGTTATGCTCAGTGAAATAAGGTAGACATGGAAAGAGAAAAGTTCTTTGTGGAGTATATCTTCAAAAGAGGTCAAATGCACAGGATTTAGAGATAAAATCATGGTTTCAATAGGTCAGACAACAGGAGTTGGGCATGGGTGGAGCAGTAGAGGTTAAAGGGTACGAAAAGTCTCCAGATGTAATGGATAAGGCCAGGGCGAAGTGAATACTGAATACAGGTGTATTATAATGGGGCTTTGTGTTAAGTAGATTTTTGCTGCTCTTGTCACAAAAAGTAGCTGCAATGACAGATGTGTTCATCTTCACTATAGTAACCACTGCCTTCTCAGCCATGTGCATCCAACGTACAAGTAGCATTTATTAAAAAAAAAAGTTATGCAGAAGCACTTGCCCACCGTAGAGCTGCACCTTGGCCAAAGGTCCCGGATTAGCTGTAGGGAGGCCACGGTTTTTTAGAGAAAGGGCCTTAGGCATGGTGTACCCTGTCTGCCAGGTGTAAAGGGCCGCGGACAGGGCACAGCTACCTTCAAATCAAGCAGACAGGGCTCCGTGCCTGAAATAAATCAAGATAAGTGTGAACAGGGCCCTCCATTTGATGTGATTATGCAGTGGAAATAGACAGCATAAATGAAGCCAGTCTCTGAATATTCGTGATTTTCTTGATATTCTTTTGATTTTGTTTCTCTTTACCACTTTCTGGGACGTGATGCGTAAGCCATTTGGAGGAATCGCCATATGCCAAATAAAATACCACCTTGGATCCATTTTTTTTCTGTTTCAGCTACAATGTTAAAGTTTCTGGAAGAACCGACTGTTATCCGGACCCTTCACTGCCTAATGATCTGTGACACAGAAAAGGGGGAGAAAGGAGAGATGTTTTAATTAGGCTCATTTTATTGTAGGGAGGTGACACAGACCAAAAGCTCTTGATTTTACGTCTCAGAGCCCGTGATTGGCAGTGGAAGGACGGGCTGTGCACTGCACGCAACAGCTGTTCACATAGCGATGACAGAAAGACGGATGGGGTCTGCTGGCACCGCAGTGTCGTCACTTGGCTCGAGAGCACAGCTGTCCCCCCTCAGCCTCTCCGAGCAATTTCCAGGAATCCGTGTCCTGGGTTGTCTGGGAAACTGCCTGATGGTCGAGGTCAGAAACGCCGAACAGGAAAGATGAGGAAAGTCGGGCAGATTCTTGTGAGAGTCAGGTCATTTCACTGTATTTATTTACGCATTTATTTTTATTAGTCACGTTCGCAGCGCGTAATCACATCCCTTGCTGGGAGTTGGGAGGAGCACGTGACACATCTCAGTTCTGTTTACTTCCCCTTCCCCTCGGCTCCCTCCCTCCCCATCTCCATCTCTTGGTCCCCTTCCAAGTTTGTTGTTCAGATCCAGAAGACTTTTACTGAACACGTAAATTTTGGGGGTGGACAGCAATGGCATTGAACCCAGGCCCTCTGCACTGAGCTGCATCCCCAGCCCCGTCCAGCCTGGGTCCGGGCTCATGCTAAGCAGTGCTCTGTCACTGAGCTCCACCCCTAGCCCGGGCACCAACTTTCATTAGGTCTTGTATTAGCAGCACGAATATCATTGTTACCCTGGTCCGGGTGCTGTGGGATCCTGCTAGAGATGCCAGGTTCTTGTACTGAACAAAGAATTGGACAGGAAAGCGCTTACAGTGGCCACGCCCCCCCATTCAGCGTGGTCCTATCTGGGCTGTCCTATCAAACGCCTGTTTGATTTCGCACCCTCAGAATGAAAGATACCCTTCCCTGATTGGTTCTGTGTGCAGGGTTTGAGCGCACGTGTCTGGATCTCTATGATTGACAAGATCACTCCCACTGCCCAGATGGCTGGCCACGCCCCAATCTCCTGCCTCACTGTTTTAAATTCTCACAACAGAATCATTTCACAGGTAGTCTGAATGCTCTGCCTTAGTCCACTTGCTCCTCGTCAGCCTCCCCCAGAAGTTGTCCTCACAGAACATCTTGTCATTCCGACAGCAGCACTGTACCCTGTTCTTCCTCCTAGACCAGCTCCTTGGATTTTCCTCTAACATTTGCTAGAACTCACGTCATGTTCAAAATACAAAACCATGTATTTTTTACTTTAAATGCAAAATAAAGAGTTTTCAGTAATACCTTTGTATGACAGCTTTTAGGGTATGTTTGTTTATTTATTTATTTATTTTTAAGTCAGGGTCTCACTATGTAGTTGAGACTGACCTAGAACTCACTATGTAGCCCAGGCTGGTCTTGAACTCACAGTGATCCTTCTGCCTCAGCCTTCTAAATTCTGGGATTATAGGTGTGCACCGCCACACCCAGCTTTAGGATAAATTTAGTACATAAACCCTACATAAAATGTGCTTCATAGTGCTATCTTTTTTTATCAGGTGAGCTGGACAATCAATATATAATTCGATTTGTGAAAGAAAAACTAAAATCCATGCCTTGTAGGAATCAGGGTTACATCCTGGATGGATTCCCAAAGACCTATGATCAAGCAAAAGACCTGTTCAATCGTAAGTTGGACTGTTCACTGTGGGTTTAGTGTTTGTTTGTTTTCTTCATTTTTTGAGACAAGGTCTCACTATGTAGTTGAGACTGATTTGGAACTCATTATGTAGCTCAGGCTGGTCTTGAAAGCACAGCGATCATCCTGCCTCAGCCTCCCAAGTGCTGGGATTACAAGCATGTGCCACCAGGCCCAGCTCCCCCCCGCCACTATGTTTTGATTGTATACAAGTAAGTTCCAACTTTGTTGTCCAGAATTTTTTTTTTTTTCCCCTTGGTACCGGGGATTAAACTCGGGACCTTGCACTTGCCAGGCAGGTGGCAGAATCACTGAGCTAAATCCCCAGCCCTAGAGAAATATTCATTCAATTAAATAAACAAAATGTTGGAGAGAATTTTTGTCTCTTTGTTGTGGCAAAGTGGAACAGCTTGGTGTTTTAGCCAAGTGCCTCTAAGGCACAGCTGAGTGCTACAGCTCAGAGGTGAAGAAAAACCTTCATTATGCCCACAGGCTCAGAGGAGTTTGTACTGTGATGTCTGAGTGCTTCACCAGTCATGAGAGCCCCCTTATATAGGGAGTTATAGGGTAGGTGAGCATGCTCACTGAAGCAGAGGGGCGGAGTTACAGAACATTCCCGAAAGGTCACACAGTTCAAACAATTACAAAACATTTTGATACACTGGGCAGGAGCAACTGCCCAGCATCACAAACTTACTTTTCTGGAACAAAACATTTTGTGGAAGACATGGAGGCAAGACAGGGGCAAGGCAAGAGCCTATCTTATTGTGTATTATTGCTCTAGCATCTTCACTCATCTTTATTAGGTGTATAGATTTAAATTTTAATTTTATCTTGTTAAAGCATGAATACAATGTGGGATTTACCCTCTTAATCTTGTTTGTTTGAGACAGGGTCTTACTATGCAGTTCAGGCTGGTCTTGAACTCATGACAATCCTCCTGCTTCACACTGCCAAATATTGGGATTACCAGTGTGCACCAGCACGGCTGTTTACGCCTTTAAAATGTCTAAGTATACAACACATTATTGTTGACTCAATGTACTGTAATGTTCAACTCTGTAAAACGTATTCATCTTGCGGGACTGAAGGTTTATGCCCACTGATTTGTAATTCTCCTTTTCCGTGTACCCCAGCCCCGGGAAATCACGTCTACTCTTCCATTCAATGAATCGGACTATTTAAGATACCTGCTCTCAGCAGAATCATGCAGTACTTGTTGTGTGACTGGCTTGTTTCATTAACGGGATGTTCTCAAGTTTATCCATGTTGTCTAATGTGGTGGAATTTCCTTTTTTAAGGTTGAATAGTATGCCATCATACGCATGGGCATACTACTTTTATAATTTTATTTATGTACTTATTTATTTATTGTGGTAATGGGGATTGAACACAGGGCCTTCACACTGAGCTACTCCCAAGCCCCTTCTTATTTTTCATTTTGAGATAGGGTCTCACTAACTCACTAAGTTGTGAATTTTCAGTTCTCCTGCCTCAGCTTTCCAGAGTGCTGCGATTGCTGGTCTGTGCCTCCTCATCTTGCTTCTACATCTTCTTGTTCTATTCGAGTGTCAGTGGATGTGGAGGTTGTGAGACTATTTCTGAACTACAAGTTTTGTTTATTGCTAGTTTTCTTTAGTGATCATACAATATAGTATCTGAATTTTTGCTATGGACGGTATGTTAACAAATACAACTGTGTATATTTTTATTAGAGGAAGATGAAGAAAAGGAAGATGAAATCAGAGGCAAACTATTTCCTGTTGATAAATTAATTTTACCTGGTAAGTTTAAGATTTTCCTCCCAGATCACACCTCAAGTAATGCTATTCTGTATTCCTCCTTCTCCTTTCCTCCTCCTCCTCTTACTCCTCCTCCTCCTCCTTCTTCTCCCCAACCCCATAGTACTAGGATTGAACCCAGAGCACTTTTTATTTTTTGAGACATGATCTCACTAAATTGTTCAGGCTGGCCTTGAACTTTTGGCAATCCTCCTGCCTCAGCCTCCCATATGCTGGGATTATGGGCTTGCACCACCGCACCCAGTGCTTATTTCTTATATTTTCTGACAAAGTGGGCAGTGCACACCACTCAGGGCCTTGTGGGAGCACGGTGTGGTCAGGAGGGTCTCCATGGAAAAGCAAGGGGGGGCCACGGCGGTAACGGAGGGGGCTGGCCTTAGGGTGACAGGGCAGGGAGAATGGGATGAGTGTTCCAGGAGGCCGTGCTCTCGAGCCTGCTGTTTACTATTTAGCATTCAGCCAGCCCTGGGATGGACAATCTTTCCCCAAGTCTGCAAGGCCCCCAAGACACCAAAACATCATAAGGCAGAGAAAAAAATTTAAAATACTTGAATACGATCACCCGTATGTGATGAAACATCCGAATTCAGTTCTGAATGTCTTAACTGTCCGGGATCAACTCTTGCCTTTTGCTGCTGCCCTTAGCCTGGGTCTGGTTTCCTTCTTCTCAGCTTTGCTGTTTGAAGGGAACAAGTTGAAAGTTATACTTAAGTGATGACTATGGAAAGCGCTATTAAAACCTCAATTTTGACATGGCCGTGCACACCGTAATCCTTGTACTCAGGAGGCTGAGGCAGGAGAATTGCCACAAATTCAAGGCCAGCCTGAACAGCAAAGAGAAATCTTGTCAAAAAACAAATACACAAAAACCCCTCAATTGGCCTGTTAGAGGCTGATGATGGATTGATTGAGACAGGGTCTCACTATGTAGCCTGGGCTGGCCTCAAACTCTTGGGGATCCTCCTGCTTCGGCTAAAGTGCTGAGATCACAGGTGTGTACCACCACACCTGGCGGGAAGGTTGGCGTGACAGAAACACAGGAACACATGTCCCAGCCGGTACCCACTTAACCCTACTTTACTGACCTGGCTGTTCTTCTCCCCAGAGTTCGTCTGTGGCCTGGACGCCTCAGATGAGTTTCTAAAGCAGCGGGTGATCAACCTCCCAGAGAGCGTCGTGGCTGGGACTCACTACACCCAGGACCGCTTCCTCAGGGCGCTGAGCAACTACCGGGACATCAACACCGAAGACGAGACTGTCTACAACTACTTTGACGAGATTGAAATCCACCCCGTACACATTGGTAGGACCCGGATGCCGAGCCGCCCCGGGAATCCCTGCGGGGCGAAGCAGGGGTTGGGGCACAGGGCTGGAAGGGCTTAGGGTGAGAAGGGACTGAGTCCCGGTGCCACTGTGCTGGGGACAGGTGCGGGGAGGAGGCTGCTGCTGCATCAGACGTGGATAGATGATGGTGTAGAGGCCACGATGACTCTTGTTGGTGGTGGTGCGGGGTACTGGGGATCGAACTGGGGACCTTGGGCTTTCGAGGCAGGTGGCAGCACAGCTGAGCTACATCCCCGGCCCTTCATTTTTAAATCAAAGATTTGTGAGCCTGTGCTGCTGACTGACTGGCCCTCCTGAGGGTTCTGTCCAGTGCACCGCTGCATGCTTGATGCCCCACCCAACCTCCCCCCTCCTTACTGGGGACTGAACCCAGGGCCTTTGCACCGGACTATACCTCCAGCCCTTTACTTTTTCTTTTTATTTTATTTCTGAGACAGGGTCTCAGGAAGTTCCTAAGCTGCCCAGGCTGGGCTCGAACTTGCAATCCTCCTGCTTCAGCCTCCCAGGCATGTACCAACTTGCCTGTTTGCACTGGTGCTCTTAACTCACCTTCTTGCTACCTAGTAAAGCAAATAGCTTCTCATCCCATTCCTCCTTGTTTGTATGTTTTGTTTGTAAACATATTACTCATCTTAGCACACAGCAGCCACTCAGGAAATACCGTCTGGCACGGCTTCCCCTCCACCCTCCTCCTCTTTCCCTCCTTCCCCTCTCCCACCTCCTCTTTCCCGCTTGTTCTTCTTTATTCCTGGCTCGAAAACTGAACTTTTGAAGACATTTCAGCTCCCCTTCCCTACTGAATGCCTGGACTTCCTCTCCTGGCCCTCTGGGTCTTGATGCTTCTTTCTGCTCTGGTCTTGGGGAGAAACAACTGGTCCCCAGTCTGGTGGTCACCTACTGGCTAGGCAGAAGAGGTGACATTTGTACTCTGAGTGTAGGGAGGTGAGAGCTGGGGGACAGAGTCCGCTGGAGCCGGGAGAGCTCCCTGAAGTTCCGGCTCGGCCTCAGTTTTCCCATCCTTCAGGGTCATTTGTAGGGTCATTACAGGTGGTGGAGAGGAAAGATACAAAGTGCCTGGTACATCAAGGAGTATGTTATGCCAATACTAAGGCATGAGATGATGCACTATTAAGAAATACAAAAAAGAAAAAAGAAAAGAAAAGAAAGAAAGAAATAGAAACCTGGGTATGGTGGCGCACACCTGTAATCCCAGCATTGGGGTAGGCTGAGTCAGGAGGATTGCCAGGAGTTCAAGTCCAGCCTGAACTACACAGGGAGACCTTGTCTCCAAAACAAACAAACAAACAAGAAGAAGAGGGAAAGGGGAGAGGAGGAGGAAGAAATAACTTCTAAACCGTAAATTCTTCTCTGTTTTATGCCTTCAGCAGTGCCTAGGTTTCGCCCTCATCTGAAAGGGTTGCTGCTCACTGGACATGTTTTATATGTAAAAGCCAGGGATTCTATGCCTACTAATATGAAAATTAGTTTACACTGTTTTTTTTTTTTTTATTTTGGGGTGTTTTTTTTTGTTTGTTTTGTTTTGTGTTTTGGCATCAGGTATCAAACTCAAGACCTTGTGCTTGCAAGGCAAGCAGCAGCACCACTGAGCTAAAGCCTCAGCCTACACTGTTTAATTATATAACTAGGAAAGGATGGTGAATTTCAGAAAATAGTCCCTGTCATCTTTTCAGTAAAGCTCCCAAAAGTTGTTTATAAAAGTATCAGGAGCGCTTGAGGGAGAAGCCTTGAGAAAAACAGAAATGACAAGGAGGAACGGGCACATGGCCGGTGTATCCCCCCCGCCTGGTTCTGTGCTGGGCACATCTGCCTCATCGGGACAGGGCCTGGGAAGATGCTGGGAAGCGTGCTTTCTTTTGGCGTGCCTGGGGCCCTCTCTGTCTGTCTCTCTCACTCTCCATCTCTGTCTCTTTCTGTCTCGCTCTGTATATCTCTGTGGACTGCCCGCCGCCTTGTAGTTTCCAAGTTACACTGGGAGCCGGGCTCAGAGCTGGACTTGGTTCTCAGGGTCAGAGTCCCACATTCCTAGAGGGGCAATGCTCACAGCAAGGTGAGGCCAGGCACCCATGATCCAGTCAGCCACGCTCCTACTCCAGTTTCCGGGGGCAGGATTATGGGGGACACTGTTCCTGGGAGCACATCCTCCTGAGGTAAAGCCCTCTCAGAACGTTTCAGGGTGCTTAGTGACCTGAGTTGTAATTACTCAGAGGATTCAAGGAGAGTACACCTGAGCTTGTCAGAGGGGCCTGGTGAGACTTTTCTGTTTTGGTGCGTGTCTTGTTTATTCAGGGGTGTGATTTTGCTCATAACTAATGCATTGCCCTGTTCCTCCCTCTTCTGGTGTTAGTCATAGAGGAGTGCTTTACAACAAGACAGGCCCTTGCCTCTCCTACAGTTTTTTTTCCCACAGAATGTTTTGTTTTGGAAATGTAAGTTTGTGCTGCTGTGGTCCTGCCCAATGTGTCAAAATGGTTTGTGACTGTGTGAACTGTGTGACCTTTCAGGAATGTTCTGTAACTCCACCCCCTCTGCTTCAGTGAACATGCTTACAAGGCATGTGTTTCGGGAATGTTCTGTAACTCCGCCCCCTGGTTTATTGAGCATGCTCACAAGGCATGTGTTTCAAGAATGTTCTGTAACTCCGCCCCTCTGCTTCAGGAATGTTCTATAACTCCACCCCCTGCTTCACTGAGCATGCTGCCTACCCTGTAGATCCCTGTAAAAGGAGGCTCGCATATCAGGTAGAGCGCTCAGCTAGAGCGCTCAGCTTCCTCTGTGCCTGGTGAGTCTCCCTGGCGTAACAAAGGTTTTTTTCCTCTACTTTTCCAACTGACCCTCAGATTCTCAAGTCTTCAAACTACGAGAGCTGCGACCCAGAGCTATAAAGCTATAAAGCTCAGCTGTGCCTTCTGAGCTGTGCCACTTGGCTGTAACACTGAACACTGAGCTGTAACACTTGGGTATAGCACCAAACTGCTCCACTCTGCTCCAACATTAGAACCTAGCGGTGTCTCTCATCTACATGGAGGTCGCTCAGAGAGACAGGCACATCTTGTAGTTGTGGGCAGGGTGGGGCAGGCAGTGACCCCCCCCCAGAAGGCTCTGGATGTGCCAAAATGTGTCAACCACGCACCATTCTCTTGGGACACCTTCCAGGAAAACCTAAGACAGCATGTAGAATTTACTACCTCAATGTCTTTATGGGGGAGTCTTGATATTAGTCACATATTCTGGAGGGTTTAGGGTTTATATCTGGCTGTCCCCCCAAAACCCCATGTACTCAAAGACAGGGGTTATGGAAGATGATGGGATTATGGGGTGCTACAGCAGGCTTGGTGTTGGGAGGTGGGACCTGGCTGGAAGATACAGGTTACTGGGATGTGACCCAGAAGGGTTTATCTCCCCTTCCAGCTCCTCCCTTCACTCTGCTCACTGTCCACTCCCCTCCGCCATACCCCTGTGCCATGCTGTTCTGTCTTGGAGCCAGCCAACTATAGACTGAAACAGGAACCAAAGTAATCCTCTCCTTCCTTAAGTTGCAGGTATTGGGTATTGTGTCACAGCAATGAGAATGTGACTAAGACATGGAGTTTGGACTTTTTCATCTCCAAGAAGGCTGAGTGAAATGGTTAATTTGTTATTAATTGAAAATCTATCGCAGAGGCATTAGTTTTCAGAAACAAAACCTTGAGGTCATTCTTCCCAGCTTTCAAAATGTATGTACAGGATTTCGTTCTGTGGAAACTTCTGGAAAAAATGTCCCAGTCTTTGCTTGAACATTTTCAGGGACGTAGAGGTCATTACTTTAGAGGTGGTCTGTGTTAGCTTTCTGTCGCCAAAAGACCTGAGATAGCTAACTTACAAAGAAGGTCTCAGAGTGCTTCCCTAGCATGTGCAAGGATCTGGGTTCAATCCCCAGTGCCTCAAGAGAATAAACAAAAGTTTTATTTTGGCTAGACGTTTCAGAGGGTTCAGTCCATGGCGTGTTAGCTGTTGCTTTGGATCTGTCATGAGGGAACACCATGTCAGATCCTAATGGCTCACCTCACCGCCAGGAAGCAGATGAAGGGCCTGGGGTCACAGTCCTTTTGGAAGATGCAGTGCTCCTGATGAAAGGACCTCCCACCAGCTCCTCCTCTTAAAGGCTCCACCACCTGCCTGTGCGCCACCCTGAGACCAAGCCTTTTGGGACATTTGCGATCCACCTACCGCATTCCCATTTACTCCTTCCACGTGACTATTAGCACTCACGGACCCAAGCACACACTTCCTACGCATGACTTTCAGATGCGTTTAACACTTGCGAATGAGAAAAGAAATCCTGAAACCTTAGAGCAGCAACTGATGTCACTTACTCTTGCACACCGCTGGCAGGGTTGGCATCTAAGTTTGTGTTGCTCACCTCTCCCTCCCTTCCTCCCTCCCTATCTATCTCTGGCTTTACAGATGTAGAGAAACTTGAAGATGCTCAGAACAGACTTGCTATCAAACAGCTGATCCGAGAGATTGGGGAGCCTCGGAATTATGGTCTAACTGAGGAGGAGAAGGTGGAGCTGGAGCAGAAGGCAGCGGAGATGCGTCTGGCGGAGGAGGCGGCCCAGGAGGCCGCACAAGCACAGAAGGAGGCAGCAGAGACCGCGGAGCGTTTGGCCCGCTGGGAGGAGTGGGTGAGCGCCAGAGCCTGGGCAGAGCCGGCTTCCTCCCCTTCCCGCTGGAGAGATGCCATGGAAACACCTGCGACAAGTTTGTTCGGTTGTTTCTTTCTTTGTCAAGTGTACCTTTTTTCTTTTCTTTTTTTTTTTTTTTTTTTTTTTTTTTTTTTTGTGTGTTTTTTTTTT